GAATAGAAACAAAAAGGAAGAGTGGATCTAAGTTTGCAATCTTGAGAAATAATCCATATAATACTTCCTGAATCTCTTTAAGCCCTAAAACATGATGGTGCAAGTTAATAGACATCACAGTCCATGTTGTCTTGCTCACAGCATTGCCATCATTCTTGGTTTATAGTTACCATTGGGTCTAATATTTTATTATAAAATAAGATTTGTAATTAGTACCGGGTAGACCATGTGCATGCGAGTGATGTAGCAGGGATTCGGCTGCAAAATGGCAACAAAGGTGAGTTCGTTGCCGCCAATAATGTTCAGGCCATCTCTGTTGAAGAGCTTGCATATAGGCTTTGTATGATTTCTTGAATAAAGTTGCAGTACATTTCAGACACCATACCTTGTATAATCATGCTAGTGAAGGGAGATGAGGATAGGAAGACGAGGAAGAAGAACTGATCTATAATTTATGAGAAAATATATAATGCGAAAAAGATATGATATGGGAAAAATTTTGACCAATCAAAATCCATCTAAATTGGCTATTATGTTTTATGATTCTAATTGATTCAAATATTGATCATATCTTTCTATATCATAGTCAAACCTATGATTTATTTATTACCACGTTTCGTATTTCCCATTGAATTTGTCCGACGAAAAAGCTCAATTCCCATCTGCTGCTAGTCATGCCGATGATTCAGAGAAGAGAATGAATGAGAAGAATAACAAGGTCCTTGTCCCCAACGGGTTTTGGGGGGCAAATTACCCTAACACCATTTATAAGTCCTATCGTGATTCATTAATCTGATGTGGCAGCAGGATAAATGATGTGGGGCAATAATAAACATTTTTAGGACAAAAGCGTGATTTCATTGAGGAGCAAAGTAAAACTCAGGAGGAGGACCAAAGGACTAATTGGTTGGCTTAGGTCTCGTATCTAAAACGACCTCTTTCTTTACTTAATCGTGGTTTTTTGCTTTCATTTCTGATTCCTTTCTCCTCCTCGACTAGCTTGGTTGATAAATTTTCAAATTTGCTACTAGCTCAGGCCTCAGGGCATGTGGCGTTTTTTGATTATTGGTCGTTATTTAAATGTATCAATACTTTAAACCATGATTCGACCCCAATTACTCTTTATAAAGTTGAGATAAGAATTTTTATTAGTGGCATGGATATGATAATTAGACCCTGTTTTATATTTTAAATTATAGATTGCTTTAACTCTAAGGTTAGCTTTTAATATAGAAATTTATTTATTAAATAAGGTTTGTAGATATCTGTCTATCTATCTTTCTATAATATTTATGTGTGCGTGTTTCTCCCAAGTCCCAACCAATATTGGATTGTTTTCTGGACGACTGTGATTGCTTTAACAAAGGTGGATTCATTTGTTTATTCTGGTAATTTGGGAAATGCATTACCGACTAGTTAATATGGTAGATCACGAGTGCAGATGATTAATAAAATATCGCGTGGCCAAATTAAAATACTAATTCAGTTTCTTGCTGCTTAGACAAATCAGGCTTCTTACATGCACTTGCTGATGTGGCTGTAACAATTTATTCATGTGCCCGGTCTCCTTCCATGTGACAAGCTTTTATGTTTTATCACTCAATTGCGCGCTCTTTCTCGCTCTAGAAAAGAATCCAATAAGAACTGTTTATCCTTGCTACTATAAGCCAGAAAATCCCATACATGGCAAGTTTGTGGGGCCAAACGCGGACCCAAAAGGAAAAACGAATGAAAAACTGACACACCAACGGAAATCTAAATTTGCCACTTCAGCACTCCACACATGGAAAGGAATGAAAACCAAGTATCGTCATGAGAATAGGTAGGTCTTTATGGCCAGCTGGTTGTGCGCTGACATGGCAGATCTAAGCTATCATTTTGCTGAACACAATCAATTGATGGATGAGTATCATTTCTGGCAATAAGAATCTTAGTGAAGCTAGGGTTTTCTTTGTAAATTTCTCAAACAAACATTTAATTATCAAAAGAATAAAAAAAAATCAAGAATTTTCATTTTATTTGTAAATGAGCTAAATAATTAGCCAATATCCAACTTTGATTATAACCCACTTACGTGTAACCTTTTTATGTTTTTTATAAATAAATTATATCATATCACACTATAATTTTTTTGGATGACACTTGGTTATTGCCACCACACTTTTTGCCCTTGAGGGCTCGTTTGTTTATTTGCAGTACACTGATGCAAAAGTATGAGAGTGAAAATAATTTCAGCATAGATTCTAATTCATTTTTGCTTCGGAGTGAAAATAAAATCTGAAGCTAAAATTCAAGTAAAAAGAGGAGTTGAATTTGCATTTTTCTCATTTTCACTTTCATACGCTTATGCAAATGGAATTACATTGCAAACAAACAGAGGGCATAATAATTTTGCTGGAACCCTAATTTAATCCACATTGCAATGTAGGGAGTTGATACTCGATAGCAATGACCGCCCGTATAAAAGTTGCATTTGTTTAGCCGAGAAAAGTTGAGAAATTCCAAGAAACCCATTGGAAAGCCCGGCTTCAGTTGTGCAAGTCAAAATTTCAGGCTTCATTCATCAAAAGTCCAAGCGCTTAGTCTTTGTGTCTTCAATTCAAACATTGTGGAGAAAAGAAAATTAATAGTAGTGGTTGCGTCCCCTCACCTCCCAAACGGCCAAACCCCTGGGTTCCTACTACTTCCTACTAACTAAAGCTTATATAAACAATTGACCCACCCCATCCCCATGCAACAATGATGACAAAGACAAAATGAGATACCACCTTCTGATCTGCCGTGTTTTCCCCATCCACGTGCCACCACCTCGTCAATTTAAAACGGTAGACCATAGCATATGAGATACGACCATCCATATTGATGTAAGCTGAGATCCATAACATAAAAATGCATGTATATTTTATTTCACTATTAGTTTCCCTTTTCTAAAGAGTCAGAGAATCAATCAACTTGTCTGTTGTGGGCGGGGCCATACTTCATTTTATACTTGTTATTTTTTTTGTTTGATCGGAGTTACAAACTTGCATATATTATTCTATTTCTTAGGTCAAAATAATTTAACCTACATAGAATACATCAAACTTTTTCTATTCTAAGGCTTTAATTAAATTAAAAATATATTCAAAAAAATTTAATCAAATTAAAAAGAACAGAAAAGAAAAAAACGGTAGTGTGGAAAGGAATAACAATCAATGTATTGTCGTCCTGGGCAGACGATGAAAGGTAGGGATGGATGGATTCCTTTGTCTAGGGTTTCATATCAAGCATTATCTCTCCAATTCAATTCAATTCAATTCTAGGGGGCTACAAAAGCTTCAAGGCAATAAGGATTGAGGCGCCTGCATGCTTTTGAGTTTTGATACATAAAACGGTGCAAAGGCCAATAAATAATTAGTACATGCTAGATCTGTTTACTCCCTTTTATTTTCTTTGTTGAATTTACGATTAAATTATTATATTAAATGGTGGTACTGTCGTAGTCGACGGCTTGGTCTACGAAAATTTCGTAAAGGGACGTCCACGTAGGTTCGCTGATATGGTTCCTTGTTGTATACGTGGCCCTAGGTCCTTCACCATCCGAAAGCGAGTAGAGATTAGAGAATGAAGAAAGATTCAAAGGCGACAAAACACAAGGAGAAAGGGATCCACTGGAGTGGGCTCCACTACTTAAGGTGGGTCTCTCGTCTGACGTAGCCGACAATTTTTCTAATTATTTAATGAGAGTGCAAGATATTTGCTGGCATTGGGAAAGTGGAGCGGATAGCAAATAACCGGATCTGAGAGGAGAGATGAATAGTAATACATGAAATCGCTTGCCACGTGTCCAATTTTGCTGCGAGCAAGCCTGAAACGTTTGTATGTTGGCATCCTGGATTTACGGCACCTCTTTTATATTATTACCTCGTGGAGAAAAGTCATTAATATTCATTTTTTTTTTTTGTTTTTCCCATTTATAATTTTGAGTGGGGAGTGGGTTGATGACGTCACTCAAACTGCCACGTGAGCTACCGAAACAATGGGGCCCGCGAGGAAATAATTCTAGACGTGGGCCCATCCTTCTGGGAAGTTCCGTGACCATGGTTCGGGTTTCTCCTTTCCGGCAGTGCTAGTTCCTTCCACCGTTCGATGGGTGGATACCGGTGGCACGAATCTCATGGTCCATTCAACACGCATCGAGGCAGGTTATTTGGTGCCAGCTCGGACTAGTGCTTCGTGCATTGGGCTCCGCGCACCGTTATGTGACGCCACGTCAGATTACAATCCAACGACTGATGAAATTCCACAAATTCTCCACAAACATCCAAACCGTCGGGTGCCAATGCCGTAGCTTTCGTGGTGGGCCCAGGAGTCAACTTCCACATAAAAAGGACACAAGATATAGTAGAATGGTAAAAGAAATCTGGAAATATAAAATAAAAGAAAATGAAAGCATGGAGGAGGAAATAATGGATTTGAGCGGCTTGAGCTGATATTTTCCGGTGGGAAGCGTTTACTTATGTCCCATGTGATTGCGCTGTAGCTTTTAACATGGCACCGAGTAACAGGCAATAGCCAGTGGGAAATCGTACGGAAGGGGAGAGATATATCTGCATTTGACGGTCTGTTGTCGGTATCGTCAAGCGAGCGATTAGAATAAAGTCGAGGAAGGCTGTGAGTCTTTTGGTTTTTACAAATTACACCCACCCCCACAAAACCAAAAAATAAAATAAAATAAAAAAGAGGATGGTAGTGAATACTGACCGTTTTCTACCCAAAAAAAAGAATACTGACCGAAGCTTGGGATAGATGAAAAGCGATATAGACTTTGACACGTGGCGGTAATGTTCAGAAGAGCTAAGGCTCCGACGGCGTCTTTTCTGCCATGTTGGCACTAGCCAACCATAACCGTAGGTTTTCTTGTGATCTCAACGGCTAAGATTAAATCTTTGACGGAAGCAAGTGATCTTGGCCGCTCGCGAAGAGTGAAAAACCATAAGGAGATGAGATTAGAGAGCAAGCTGAAAAGCAAGACAAGAAAAGCAGAGAGGGAGAGGGAGAGGGAGAGAGGAGGCGAGGCGGAAGTAGAGAGAATAAGTAAAGGCTGAGATTTTTTCCGTCTTTTTCTTGTTCACTGGTTCAGAGGAGTTTGATACTTGAATCATTTTGTTGGTCGAGGTCGGCCGGAATCTGAAGTTTTGTTCCATTGAACTCCGGCGAATTATTGTAGAAATTTGGTCGGAATATCGGTTTATGGTTCACTGTATTCGATTTCATGAGAAATAGCGGTAAGGGATGGATAGAAACAGAGAAGCAAGAAGAGGAACCTTAGCAGCGTCAAATGGATTGTCAAGAAGGAGACAGAGGAGTAGCAGTCTTAGGGATTCTCCTGGTTCGGACTTCTCAGATCTGCCTTTTATACTGTTTATAACAATACTTTTTCATTTTTTCTCTGATCTTGACGTTGCTTCTTTTTTCCCTTTTTGTTCAATTTACAGAGGAAGATGGACCGATGGAATTGCAGGAAACGGCAAGATTGAGAGATCGAGGGAATAAGAAAGATAGAGATCGAGATCGGTCGAGTCGTAACAAACGAAGAAGAGGGGATAGATTGATGCATGGCAGTAATAGAGAGGAAGGAGGAGAAGAAAGTTCCGAAGAAAGTGTAGATGATGACGAGGAGGATGAAGACGAAGATACTGGTGCTGTTCGGATTCTTCCTCCGAATCCGTCATCATCGTCCTCACTCTCGAATCACCACCATCGGAAGAGCTTTCCGCCTGCAAAGGTTGTTAGGGCGGCCCCAACGTGGAAGGTCCCTGATGAGATGTCGGTGCCGAGAAAAGCTCGTTCAGGTAAAAAGAAAGAAATGAGGAATGAGGAGGGTGAATAAAAGAGAACTGATATTCTATGCTGTCCTCCTGGCTTGGAAATTAATAGGTAAAAAATTTTCATTGCTTTTGTTTTTTGCAGCTTCTGCGAAAAGGTCACATGAATGTTGGACCTCAAGTGGAGGCGGTGGTAGTGAGCAGTTTCACCGGCAAGCTTCAACATCACCGGCGAGACCAAGTGTTGCAGTAGCATCACCGGCTCCGATCTCTCCGTCTTCTTCCAATGCTTCTGCTCGGAAGAAGATGGTTAGTTTCTAATGTTTTACTCTTTATTTTGTTCCTATCTTTTGCTTTTTTTTTCAATCTCTCTGGAGATTGTCCACTAAATGTTTCAGATTTTGTGGCAGAAACCTATTGGACCCAAGCACCGGCCACCGAAGGTAGCCAAATCTTCATCCTCTTCAATTCAGGAGATTGAGATCGAGGTTGCAGAGGTTTTATATGGTTTGAAGAGGCAATCACAGTGCCCTTCTAACGAAGAAATCACACTAAATTCATCACAGAAGTTGGATTCAAAGGAGAACAATGGATCGAGTAATGAGGCCAAGTCGAGAGTTTCCTCTCCGGTCTCAATCTCACAATCGGCCGCGCCACCTCAGTCGTCTTTGTTACCTCAGAATTCTGGCACTTCGGCCACTCCGTTACCGGCTGTGGGTGAGTATCTTAAACTACTAGTCAACAAAGTTGGATTCGTTTCCCAACTGTTTTTCTGTTATTACATTGAAAACCTTCTGCGTCTGATGATGCTGGTATATGCAGCCCCGAAGAGGAAAAGGCCGCGACCTGTGAAGTTTGAGGAGGAGGGCCCCTCTCATTTTCCAGTCCGAAATGGTTCCATTTCATCTTCTGCAGCTAAAGTTGAGAATGAACTGCCTCAAAAAATCGATATTTCCTCCCCAAAATTGGAGAAAATTCCAGGATCAAGCGAGGAAAATGGTGGGGTTTCTTTGGATTTGTGCTCCTCCCAGGCTGCTGCTGCTCCTGTATCATCATCGGAACCACCCGCATCGGAATCAAGTAAGCCAGAGAGCAATACAATCTCGGATTCTAAGCCCGTGGTCGAAGAATCAGAAATTCGAGATGCGATTCAGACGAGGGAGGATATCCTGTCGCCGAAGATGGAATCTCCTTGTGCGAAATTGGACGTTGATCTTGAGGATAATACAGCGACAAAAGCGTGAGCACCATAGATCCGTCGCCTTTTGCAGTTTTTTCTTCGGCCATTATTGTTAATGTGATTTCTGAAGTTTTGATTTTTTGATCATACAGGGTGTCAACAGTACCGGAGGTTGAAAACAAGCGGGAGGAAAAATTTCAGATCGACTTGATGGTGTGGATTTTTTCTCGTAATATATAGATAGGATTTTTGCAGTTATTTCTTCCACGAAGTTTTACTTAGAAAAATTTCTTCCATACAGGCTCCTCCTCCTTTGAAATCTTCTCCAGAAGGGGATGGTGTTACCGATTTTGTAGCAGATGCTAAATCTATGGCTCAAGATGTTGATGCGGTGAGTAGGCTTCTCTTTATTCTTTCCAACAACCTCTTGGTGAGCGATAGGTTGCAAATATGTTTCTATATATTTCCTCTATGTTTTTATTATCTTTGGTTAAATATTTTCTGTGTCATATTCCAGGGACATAAGTTGGAGACTGCGGTTCAGGCAGAAGAGAACGTCAATGAAATTGATAAGCAGGACGCGTCGGAGGTTGGGTTGGAAGACAAGAAGATGGAGACAATGGCGGAAGAACCTGAATCACAGAAACCGATTGAAAATAGGGAGAGGGTTCTTGATCTGCAACTTGATTTAGAGAAGGTTGATAGGGAAAGTTGCAGTGTTGGTGGCACCAAACAGCAACAAGCGCAGCAAGTTCAGCAGCAGCAGCCGCTTCCGCCGCCGCCAGCCCAACCAAAATCTGGAAGAAATGATTTGAAGGCGGAGAAACCTGGTAAACCTACTTGAAGTTCCAATTTTTGCAATGCAGGGTGTCTGTTTTATTGGCCCCACGTTATCGCAGTGAGTGGCTTCCTTTTTCCAGCTTATCTTTGCTTTTCTCATAATTTTCTTCTCTGTTTTCAGGTCAATCCACCTCTTTGCCGTTGCCGATGACTGTAGCGGGCTGGCCAGGCGGGCTTACTTCTCTGGGGTGCGAATCCGATTACCTTGTTATGTTTCCCTGGCTGTTTTGGTTATTTATCATTGTAACCGTAACAATAAATATTTCATAGCTAAGAAATTACCTCCATCTTCTTAAGCAGATACATGCCACCACTTCAAGCTGTTGTGTCCATGGATGGGAGTTCTGGATCTTCGACGCCTGGACAGGTATGTGTCACTTTCTTTATGTGGTGTCCACTTGGGCGATGTACCAAAAGTTCTCTGATGATGTTGTGGTGATCTGGTGTTAAAAAAATTTAGGTACCCCATTTGTTTCTCTCCCAACAGCGGCAAAAGAGGTGCGCAACTCATTACCACATTGCTCGAAACATCTACTGTCATCAGCAGTTTACAAGGATGAATCCTTTCTGGCATGCAGCGGCTGGTTCTGCATCTCTTTATGGGGCCAAACCATACAATCTCAATGTTGTGCCCCCAACAGAAGCCACTATTCTTGGAAACCCATTGCAGGGAAGCTTACCAGGTAGGAATTTGAACTCGGTCTCAGACAAGGGCCAAGTTGCTAGCACATTTTCTGGTCATACTACAAAGGATAAGAACTCTGCAGCGGCTGCAGCCAACTTTGTGGATGCCCAGAGAAAGCAGCATGTGCTTCAGCAAGCTCCGCAGTCTGCTTCTTCTGGAAATCTGCTGGTATGTCCCTATCCTCTTCACTGAATAATTTACTGGTGATGGTTTAAGAAATTTATTAATTTTATTTGCTCTGCGTTAGCATGGTCCTACTTTCATCTTCCCATTGAGTCATCAGCAGGCAGCAGCAGCTGCCACTGTGGCCACCAACCGATCGGGTCCTGTGAAATCTCCTACTGTTACCAGCAATGCTTCTTCCTCAAGTGCAGCTAGTTCAGCTCAGTGTGTTCCAGCAAACTCGTCATCGCAAGCAGCTGCTACCACAACCATGAGCTTCAGTTATCCAAATCTGCCTGCCAATGATGCTCAGTACTTGGCAATATTACAGAACAATGGATATCCATTCCCTATCCCTGCTCATGTTGGAGCACCACCACCTTATAGAGGAGGAGCCCATGCTCAGGCAATGACTTTCTTCAATGGGTCTTTCTATTCTTCCCAGATGCTCCATCCCTCTCAACTTCAGCAGCAACAGCAGCAGCAACAACCTCATTCTCATTCAAAACCAATCCAACAGGGCCACCAGAACACGAGCACATCAAGTGGTTCCTCATCATCACACAAGCATCAACAGAATCAACAACAGCGCCTGCAAGGTGGTGGCAGCAGTGGTGGTGGTGGAAACTCGCATAACTTTCCTGCCTCGAAGAATCGACCTCCCCAGCAGCAGGCTCTGCAGCAGAACTTGCATGTGCCGCCACCCCATCAGGCTCGCCAACTTGAGGCAGAAGTTGGTGGGGAAGATAGTCCATCAACTGCCGATAGTAGAGTCTCTCATGCTCAGAAGAATATCTATGGCCAGAACTATGCCTTGCAGTTTCACCCACAGAACTTTGCATTGATGTCTCCTGCAGCTTTGGGTGGTGGTGGAAGCACCGGAAGTAATGGCGAGAAGCAACAACAATCACAGCAACATGGATTGAAAGGTGGAGTGGAACTCCTTCCATCTCAGGCATTTGCTATGTCCTTTGCCTCCTTCAATGGAGCTTCTACAGCAATGGGGCTTGATTTCTCTTCCATGCCTCAGAACCATGCAATTTTCCAGAGCCTACCAGAGACAGTAAGGCATGGCTATGCAGCAGCAGCAGCAGCTGCTGCTCAGGTAGCACATCAAAAGAAGAATCACCAGATCACTGAAGAAGCCAAGGCTGGTGAAGCAACTAATGCTGAGGATGAAAAGAAGGGTTTGAGTGGAAAAGCCCCAGCGAGTGTTGGGCAGTCTCTTGCCTTCTCCAAGCCAGATTCCACCGAGCCATCAGTGTCCACAATTCTAGGCAATGCTGTTTTTGATAGCTCTCGCACTCTCAACCTTATCTCAGCTCCCGTCAATTGCAATAGAGCATCTCGTTCCAATACAAATTCTACAATGGCTACTGCTTCTGCCCCATCTAGTAACCCCAATTCTCAGCAGCAGCAGCAGCAGCAGCAGCAACAGCAACAGCAATTAATTCAGATTCAGAAGCAGCAACAGCAACAACAACAACATATGCAGCAACAACAACTACAGCATTTTGCGGCTGCAGCAGCGGCAGCAGTAGCTAGAAGCAAAACATCAGCAACTAGTAGTAGCAGTGTTTACTCTGATCGCCTGCCTGCCTCTTCTGTTGCCACTAAGTTCCCAAATACACTTTTTTCGCAGGCTCTTATCCAAAGCAGCAGCTCTGCCCAGTCTTCCCAGTGGAAGAACTCAGCAAGGGCAACGGCCTCTCCCATACCTTCCCCTTCTCTGGCATCATCGACCACTTCTTCCATTAAGAATCTCCCTCAACAGCAGGGCAGGACTCAAGGCCACACACAGATATCATTTGGAGTGAATGCAAAATCGGCCGCCCCAGGACAACAGCTTCCCACTAACCAGTCAACGTCACCCCCTGTCGTTGTGGGGTCACCCCCAACTACTACTAAGAGTGCTGGGGGAAGTCCGAGAACTACATCTACGGGTAGCAAAACAACAGGCCCATCACCAGCATTATCATCTCAACAACAGAGCAAGAACTCGCCATCAGGGCCCAGCAGGAAGTCCTCTCCCGTTGGTGGAAGGAATGTACCTTCTATACTTGGCAACTCCATCGTTACCAGTGCACCTAGCTCTAGTTCCAAATCTCAATCCCAGTCGCAGCAGCAGCAGCAGCTACAGAAGCAAGCATTGCAGCAGCCACAGCTATTCTTCACCAATGCCTATATGCAAGCTCAGTCTCCACAGTCTATGAACACCGCCACAACGAACGCCAACACCGCCACTACTGGATTTTACTGTCAGAGGCGATCTGATCAACACCAACATCAAGGGTCGACTGCATCTAATGGGATGCTGTCATTGTGCCCTCCCTCCCTCTCACTAGCTGGTGCCACGTCTGATCCTGCAAAAGCGGTTGCTGCTGCGGCTGCAGCAGCTGCAGCTGCCAATAACATGAAAGTGGGCTTGCCGCCACCAAGCCTTCTCGCTGCACAGTTTACTACACCGGCTACTGGAAACTCACACCAGCTCATGTCTGCAGCTTTTCCATACATACATGCCGTGCCGCCTGTACCTGTCAAACCAGCTGAACAGAAGCAACCTGCTGGTAAGTAGATTGATTTTGTTTGTTATTTATTTCTTCCCTTCCCCCCCCCCCCCCCTAATTGGAAATCTTGAGGTGAAAGAAAAACGGAATAGGAACTTTTGTTGGGGCTTTGTATATTTATCAAGGAGACACGGTTTCTTGCCCAGGAAATGACAATTTGCATGCCTGCTGGCAGCCTGACAAGAGATGAATGAAGCAACCCATTGAATGTGAAGGCGAAGAAGACGCTCTTGGAGTCGTCAGGGACCGCTGGCGCGGTACAACCCAGACCTGCTGCTATGCTTTTAAGAGATCCTTGGAGCAGCGTCCGGAGTGCGCAGGGGGAGGAGAGGACTGGGGGGAAGGCAGCTTGAGGATTCTTTGTTTGGGGAATGCAATTTTGTGTGAATGAACACTACGGAGGTTCATCATCATCGTCAGCAACTGATCCGATAGTGTGTAAGCTGTATTCATACCCTGAATTAACATGGTTTTCGTGGGTCGATTGAGAGAATTAGTTTGATTGGTTTTGACGGAGAAGGAACAGATACAGTGGAGAAGATGGAAAAGACAGATATGGTAGGCATGCATGCACAATGATCGACAGTGCAGCAGTAGAAAAAGTTGGAAAGACAAGTCCGGCCAGACCCACCTTTTTATGTGGGGTTGTAGGGAAGGGTGTTAATTTCTTTTATTGGAAGATATTGAAAACGTTTTTTAATTATGACTTATATTTTGTGATGAAGGATGTGTATATATATCTGGCACATAGAAGAAAACAGTGACTCAATTTTTTTTTCTTTTCTGTCAATTTAATTCTTTCCTTTTTATTTACATATTTTGTTCCTCACTTCTTTACCCTTTTCTGGTTCTGGAGGGATGTGGATGGATGGGTAATGGGTTCATGATGGCACGGAAGGTGGGGTGTTGAAGAAAAGCTAAAAGGTTCCCCAAGAGACGTGGGTGTGTCATCAACTCGGTTTGATTGGGTCGGTGTCGCTGTGTGCGTCCCTTGTTCGTTTTAATATTTCCATGTCTAAATTAACATCATAACTATGATCATCACCATTATCATTATTATAAAGAGATGAGATTACTGGGTTATTCTTGTTGATGATTTTTGCTGTTAGGAAATTGGCTTTTTTCCTAGTTTTGATGCGGCTTCTTTGCTTCGTTGCGGACCTGTGTTTGTTTAATTTTAATTGATTTGATTAATGAAATTGGTGGACGTCATCAGATTTTGATAAGGAGAATATGATAAGGGGTGTGGAAAAGAGGGCAGGACAGCGCCAAGGCAAGTCAGGTTTGTCGTTTTTTACTTCTTTTATGGGGTCCTTGGGCTTTGAGATTTGAGCTTTTTGTTTTGTTTCTGAGAGGGAGGGAGATTGGATTCTCTCTCTCCTCTCTCCTTTCTCTCTAAAAATATAGATACATTTATAAAGTAGGGTAGTTGAAAAGGACTACTATTGGCTCTTTATTGTCAGTATCAAACACGTGGCTTCCTTTCAAACTTTGTTGTTTAAAAAGACATTAAAATAATGTAATGGTGGAATACATAAATTTATAATGAAAGAAGAATCTACTACTACGGACAGTAGGCCGTAGAGTGGAGTGGTACCCCCCCAGTCCCCCACACAGCCACACTGGCACTAGTTAGTTTCTGTTATCTGAAGATGTCCGATCTCGATGCAGTGGTACGCATGTCTTCACATGGTTAGCGCAAGGCAAATACCCTCAACCCAATTACGTTATGTTCACGCTCTTTCAATTCATAGCTTTGCTTTCTCCACATGAAATGAAATAAACGCAATCTTCTACTGCTCAAGTGGTTAGCCATTAAAGAGTAAAGACATCGCGTCTCTGCCACACACCTTTGCCCCCTTTCAAGATTTTCTCTTTCATCCCATGTGCTTCCCACGGGCGGTCTTTGTATTTGTGTATATGAGAAAAACATGGCTGTGCTAGTTATCTGTCCATCATCACTCCCTCCTGTAGCTAATAGCCTAATACTTCCAACCTTCTATCAGTTTCCCACAAGAACACAAATCAATACTACTTTTGTCTGCAACCGGAACACGTCATCCCTTCCAATTAAAGCACTCCCATTCCTCTTCTATAGTCTATACTGTTCCAATAATGATATCCCACGTCAGTCTACTACGTGGGGTCCCTGAGGATACTGGGCCAATCACGATAAGCCGCGTCGTCCCCCCCTCCCCTCCTCTCTATTAAAAGAAAGAAATGCTCATTTGGTTCGAGAAAATGATTGATAGGTTGAGTTGAAAATTGAAATCTTGAAAATGAGAGATGGCTTTTCAAACTTCTAAGTCTTCCAAAATCAAAAAGAAATTAGGAAAGGTGGGTATCACGTCGTTGGGGATTGGATGAGTTTGTTCGGGTGATCGGGTCGAACCCGACAGACCACAGGCCAGAACCCCCACCCCAAACGAGTGAGAATCATTGCTTCTTGTTGCTGGGTGGGTTTTTTTCCATAACCTGAATCCAGATACCCTTACCTTAATCCCAACTTGTATGTAATATACTAATATTATATCCTGAATTTATGATACATACGTACAAGTTGAACGATCACAGCCCATATTCGGAGTCGGAAAGCGGGTTTGGGGTTTGATCCCGTGCTCCATATTCTGCTATTGTGTGTGTCATCGGCAGCGCGCAGTTTCAATTTTCAAATTCAATGCCATGGCCCTTCACTTCTCTGATCTCTCTCTCTCTCTCTCACTCAAAGTCAACAAAGTTGGACGATCACAGCCTTCTATATCCTTCGCCTCAGCCAACATGTACATGATCTATTTTACAAGGTCAAATGGTTTGGGCTCTTCAAAATTCTTCCAACCATTGGGTCCGGGAGATGTACGATCGTGTATATATTCCTGTACTTCAGTTAGCACATTATCATTACTCTCATTTGCATCTACTCCCCTATAAATTTCAAAAAAAAAAGGTTGTTTATTTATTCAGCGTATTTATTACTTCACCTTATCATTTGTAATTTTTAATTGGGTAATTTTGAAATTTTGAAACCAAATGAGCTGGGCCCACGGGCAGAATCAAAGCAAAGACGGAAAAGAGAAAAGGATGATTGACTTTAGTTAGAAACACAGAGACTCTTTAAGAATAGGAAGCCCACCATGTCCCCTTTTATGCCCTCTAGGGCCCAAACCCTATAATATTAAATTTGGGTATATCATTATTATAAATTAGTACTTTTTATTTTATTTTATTCACATGTAATATATTTATATATTTCCATAAGATCAGATTAAAAACTAACACCCAATAAACAGATTGTGACTTGTGACTTGTGAGAGAGGAATTTTCTTTATTATATATTAAACTATACGTTTCATCATATCCCCATGATCAACCCTACCTCTCTCTCTCTCTCTCTCTCTCTACAACCTTTGCATATGTTCAATTAAACAAATCATTCAACTATCTGTGGTCTTTGAAGCTACACTCTCTCATCATTAAAATATTGGGGCATGTTTGGCTATTACGATTAAGGGGCGAATTTCCTTATAGTACATCTTCTAGAAATTTGTAGATACTAGACAGTGCTTCTCCACTTGACCACCAAACACGCAACTAAATAATTAAAAAAAAATGAAGAAAATCATGGCCACTCTAGGCGGCTATAGCTGATCTTGTGTGTGCGTGTGTTTTGGTCGGAAAACAAGTTTGAGGCGGTGAGTTAGGTAGGCATTTCCCATTCTTAGCTTAGAGTCACATGACCTACATTAGTAAATTGATAGATTTAAGTGAAAGGGGGCTTTGGGCCTCCTACTCCTAGCATGAGAAAGAGCATTTCTGGTGTCAGATCGGAATCTACTTGAATTCATCCAACCCAACCCTATTTTTAATCGTGATCTTAATCAACATAATTTGTAAAAAGCCCAGTTGAATATGATGATGCTGGACTGATATGATTGCGTATTGCAATTGGGCTTTGGCAAGGGGATCTCGGAGGGTATCCTGGGAATGGTTAAAACTGAGGTGGGCCCCCCTTTGACAACCCCATAAGAAGAAGAAACGTGTGTTTTGTTGGATGAATGGGGACGTAGCCTAGCCATGTCTGTCCCCTCATCCCATGTTGTCTTTATGAGCCTAACAGTAGTAAAGAGTGATGAGTTCTAGTTATTAACTATTTGACACACCGTTAGCTTTGGGAGTAAATTTAGGTGGGCTCACACAGTGCAAGTTTGAGGTCTAATTTATTTGCTGGAGGATGTTAAGAGATAGAAAATGGAGATGAAAGTTGAAAACTTGTTTTTTGAAGAAAAAAAAAAGGGGNGGGGGGGAGAAGGTGGACTACTTTGTTAGAGTAGTTATAATTCCTACCTAAATGAGGGTAAGGTGGTCCCTTTAAATATCTGGAGTGGGGTCAAAATTCCTTTCAGACCCTTGTGATTGAGGTGAATTGGTCAGTCCAATTCAAGCATTATTTATTTATTTACCATCTGATGAGATGAATGATGAGTCAACCTCAAATAAAGAAATAGACAATTAGGCATAGAGAGGGCATTGCGTATACAGAAAATGATATTTCACATGCATAGATAGAGATGAGATAGCCAAAGCCAAGGACGGCCATATCCCCCCAATTATTCTCCACTCTCAATTAGATATAACTGGAGCCTGGAGGTTTCTTGGAACCATTCATTCTAATTAGATTTTTTCTCATTTGCTTTTGGTGAGTGAACTGATGAAATCAGACTAGTTTGTTGTATTTGGACGATGGGAATTGAAATTTGGCCAAAGTAAGGGTTAGGCCGTTGGATGGGCATAAATAAAATGAGCCCCTTTCCTCTTGTCTGTGGCCTGTGGGTGTGGGGTTTACTTCATCAGACATTTTTGGTTATTTTGTTAAATTTGTTTTGGTGGAGTTGGAAACTTGTTAGTGCTGGTGAATGAATGGTGTTGGTGATGTGAAGTGGCCTGTCTATTTTGTGGACCCTGGGTCCACCACCATCTGCCTTTCTGAATGAATGGAATTATGTGCTTTATCATCTCCAACTCACACTTTTGATCTGATGATGCTTGTCAAAATGTCTGTGACAGAGAAAGCATCTTGACCACACATCTGGGCTGCCTAACTCACACACTTTTGGAATTTGGATTTGGATTTTGGAATTGGATAGAGAGCATTTGCCATTTCTGGGTGTGTGGGACTTCACCACGTGTTTCCCTCTCCACCTTTTTCTTTCTTTTTGTAGATAAGCAGATGGAGATGCGTGTCGTGTCACTGTGTCCCTCTCTCTCTCTCTCTCTCTCTCTGGCTTGGTGATTTCGTCGCAATTCGCAATAAAATCTCCGCTCCCAGCATCCCACTGAGCTCTTGAAGTTTGAATGAACTTCATTCCTGTCCTGTTTCAGTTTGATTACCGTCGATGGGTTGTGGGCCTTCCTGCATCTGTCTGCTGGACAAGTTGTTCGCTACTTTCCCAATCAAGTAAGTAACAGAAATGAAAGATGATCTAACCTCTATCGCGAAGGGTAGGCGATCTCATGGAGTTAATCCATGGAAATCGAGTGTCGGTAGTCGTGGAACAGGTCCCCACTGCTTGGACTGCTGGAGCTTACTTCCGAGTTCCGACCAGAGAGGGAGATGGAATCCAAGGTACGGTATGAAGAAAAGTTTCTGAGGATCCATGGGAACTGGTTTTTCTTTTGTTATAAAATAGAAAAAAAAAGGACAAGAGTTGCAGAAAGACAAGTGAATAATCGCCCCCAGTGGGTGCAGTTGAGACGAGAGAGAGAGAGAGAGAGAGAAGATGAAGTGGTGAGACTGAAAACTCAAAACTGGGAGTGCGAAGTGGGGAGAGTGCCTGCTTTGATTTCTCTTTCTCGTTCTCTCTGTGAATCTGACACGTCTCATGGAAGTAGGAGGAAGGAACAAAGGGGATCCTACAATTTAATGCGGTGGGAGCAACATATAAATAGAGGGAGATGGGGTTGGGGACTTTGGGGGTCCTCTTTGCCTCTTTGGGGAAGAGGAGAATCTAGAAGAAAGGAAAACGGAGTGGACCCCACACCCTGTACAGTGTACGGTCATTCGGTCAATTAATAGTTGGAGCCTGGACTGGACGGAGGGTGGTCCACCCTCCACTCCAGGCCTCCACCGGCCCACAACAAAGAAAGTCTAAATTAATAGCAATTTCTGGGTTGGACTCGGAAGCAGTGTGTGTGCCCAAATATTAATTCGTAAAGTCTGGACTCTGGTAGGTAGCTACAACATTGCCTACTGCCTATTATTGCATTGGCCATTGGGGAATTTACCGCTCAGCCCCGGGGCATAAAAATTAACTTCCAAAACAATTGTATTCATTTAAAAGATACCGTTTTTTATTCTTTGAAGTTTTAAATCTCCATTCATTTCACAAACCACCCCAAGCGCTTAGCGGTAAATTTTCCCCCATGTCTGTAACTCCGATCAAACGAACGTCTTTCTTTTGCACTGGCGTTTGTTTTACCTCTTCACATTTTTAGTAGCATTGTCCGTTGACTTTCGCTCCTTGCACCGACATAGACACAAGACCGACGACGAGGAGGTGAACTTTCTGTTCTTCCTCACACCACACTCAAACAACAAGGTATTTCAACTAAACTAACTGTTTGAAGTTCGAATTACAATATTGAAAGAAAATGGGCAATCTCATGCTATGCTACTTATTGCTTGTTGTTGGAAGAAATTTCTTTGGATTACTAAGAATAGTTCTTGCCCGCCTGTTATTTTTTATCGAAGAAATTAGTTTTTCATCCCTTGTCCCTTGTTTTTTATCTAAAATCTAAACCAACCCAGCATTCCAGTGTGTAGCCCCTGTGATCCACACTCGCATTCAAACCCCACCCATTCCTAGTCCATGTTTTTTATGTTCAATAATTTATATGTATGTATTTTTGTTGTTTGACGAATGATATTAACTATTCTACCATTTTAATCGTTAATAATTTATCCAACCTCTTATTCTAGTCAGAAGATTCTTCATAATTAATATAAGAATAACATTAATTGGGAACAATGAAGATGGTCTAAATGGCACCATGGATGCTAGCCCAGCCACTTGTATTTAAAAAATATAAGAGGAGAAAAAAAAAAAAATCTATAGGTCAAAGTAATTACTAATTTGGTTTTAATGGTTATCTGTGCAAACTTAGAACCAACACCTTCCGTATATCAAAAGACTCCAGAACCATTCATCCATCCTGATTCCTGCATTATTTAACTTCATTCAGTGGCCACTCAGCCTATGGGAGGGAGTATTATTATTTATAAAAATCTCGAATATCCAAGGCACAATGCAACTTAGTTTTAAAAATTAATAAAAAAGTAATATAACAAATGCGAATCTGTCTCCTCCAATTAATTTCTAAGACAGCCTAAGCCCAGTGCCTACTCCAACAGTGAATGTTTTAATTTCATATTATATACAAGTACAAACAAATGCATAAACTTGAGATAGGAAGTCAAGTCAAATCGTTTTTTCAAACAGAGGGTAGTTGTTATTGTACATGGACTTAAATATAAATATGGGTAGGACCGACCGTAGGAAGGGATCAAGAAGAGAAGAGAGCAGAGGGCTCTCAGTCCCGAGAAACAGTGAAATGACTTTCTGGGTTTCAAGATTAATAATTTTCATTTTTTGTTTTGTTTTAGGCAAAGAGCAAACAAAACACAACACAACAAAACAAAACAAAACAGAGCAAACTAAACCGTGTTGTTGGTTCGCTGGCCAAAACTACGACAAATTAGCATGTCAGCTGGAATCCTAATAATATTCCCTATTCCTTATAATAAAGGGTCCATCCCAAACACAGACACAGACTTGTTTAATCAAACAATATGAAGTACACGTCTGGTCCAAAATGGAGCAATGACCAAGATAAGAACTTAACCGGGGGAAGAAATAAATGCTCCCGAGGTTCCAAGGATTAGTTTAATTTTTCAAACATTTTATAATATTTGTAGGGAGTAGGGACAACTGCACACTAATCAGCACTGCCTTCCTAGTTCCTAGGCTAAATCTACATTATTACTTTAATTGATGACTCTAGTGTTCTAATCCCGAAGAGAAATCTATTCACCCAATTACTTTCAACTTTCAAGTCGGGTATGAAAAGCCTCACCTTCACATTGTTCATGCATCTTCACTCTGGGAGCTTTCTCCTTCTCCCCACTAGGTTAGACCTGCAACCAAACACACCCGACTCAAGGTCAAAGGCATGTTTGGGATATTTTCCTCAGTTCTGCTCAGATTGAACAAGCACTAGGACCCATCAGTATAATGGGCCCACGTCTGACTTAAATCTATCTGTGATCTACAACTAAACCATTACCCCCAAAACAAGCAGGAATAGGACCAACAGTGCAATGCGTCCTATCTGACTCAATCTATCTGTGATCTACAAATAGACTTGCCCTAAAAACAAGCATGAGTAGGACCAACAGTGCAATACCTGTGATCTACACCCAAACTATTACCCTCAACAACAACAGTATCTCATTAGTAAACACTTAAAAATCTTTTTGCATTTCCAACAGAATTTGACATTTACAATCGTTCTTTCTACTGTGTCATGCAAAGTGAAGCCTTTGGACTTATTAAGGACAATAAAAAGTTTGATCATGGTTTCACAAGTGGCCTTGTGTTGTTCCAAAGCCATTGACGAGCAGAACCATCCAGCAAAGGGGAAACCTGCACGAGTGTGCCCAGAAGTTAGTTAGACAGCTCAGACTAGTTTCTGAGAAAGAGATTTAAGAATGCAACGAACTTATAAGAATTTTTTTCTATATGGCAATGCATAGAGACCAATAAGAAGAATTTAAGAGATCCGTTTACATAAACTACTTAGAATTTTGAGTAACCAGATAAACAAAAGTTGAGAACAATTTGAACTGGATGAGTATGCCATGTATATTTGGTTATCCAGGTGTTACAGTTGGGAGACACAAGTCAAACAGAGGACATGGCCCTACAAGAATTGTAATGACAGAATAGGTTCTGAATAAATGGGATGTACACACAATAGATTTACAAGTATGTAACTTCAAATTAGGATCCATATTAAGTATATTTTAACACTTAATTGAGAAATACCCATGCAGCACCAGTGTCAGTATTGATAAAATGTTCTGTTGATATACCATTAAGCATGCTTAGGCATCCAGGTATCATATAATTTGGGGATGCATGTTTAGTGAAAGATATTGACTATAGTGACAGATAAGATTCATGTAAAAGGGATGGCAATGATGACGATGATGTTTGTTATCAAGATTACGATGAAATAAGGATGGCAGAACAGGATTTTTATAGTCTGTGTCAATTCTCTTTTTTTTTTTTTTTTTTAGTTATACTGTAACTATCTATAAATAACTAACCTTCTCCCAAACTTGTGAGTGATAATCATTGAGCCAATTGACCTCCGCAATGGACAATAAAGACAAATCTACTAATTTGCTCTGCAAATGAAATAAGCAACTACATTTAAAAATGTATGAATCAAAGCTGAAGAAAATCTTGAGAAATAAACTCAAGATTAAAATGATTGTTGCTACATGGCATGACATCAGCACACAAAAGAGAGATGAACTTATAACAATAATTATGTGCCAGAATACAATTGAAGATTGCAATCGTCTGCTACAGATTTGTAAATATTACCATCATATACTCAGTTTAAGCCTAACCACTGACATGAGAAAACTATTTATTGAGGGTTCAGAGGTAAGACGCCTATTTTCAAGATTCAGAACATATATGATGCTAATGTATCTTACTGTTTGATCATGGTTTCTCCTTAATTTGGAAGAATGTGAAAGTAGAGGAACAAGCAAGAGGATAATTAAAAGGAGCAGAAAAAAACACAAAGCATGTGGAGAAAACTCGTTTCTTTATATTTGGATTAAAATTCCCATAAGTAAAGAACAAAATCACTTAAAATTTATATATTACCATCCCATGCTTTCTTCTCCATTTACTTGATGACCCTAGAAATGTTTGTGTTTGTGCTACATAATATTTTTAATACCAAATACCCATCCGGATTCAAGACTCAACTTCCCAAACTAGAAGATTGGTATGTGTAACTGTGCTACATATCTAAGAAGCGGTGTTTTAAAAACAGAACCAAACATCAACACAGTTAACTGGAAGGATGGTGGGTTTCACTGGTCAAATGGGCAGTTAGCCTAGTGAAATGATCAGAACTGTCAAAAATCTGGCACCCTTGTTTCAAACCATCTGGATCAATTATGATCTCAAAGCACTGATGAGAAGTTTTCCATGTGCTTGTGCAAATGGAAATCTAAATTATTTCTAATATATCTGCTTCTTAATTTTTCTATTTTGAAAATGTTGCTTAATTGTTTGATGTTTAACTTGATGAGAAAAACTTACACATTATGAGTTTATCAGATATTATGCGATAACTTCCAATCTGATAAAGTGGTGAGTAAAACATAAATAGTACCAGAAGTTCTCTAACATACCTGAATGGGAACAAATGTCATCTTCTCAAATCCCAGATATGCATTTCCTCCAAAATTGTTAGGTGTCTCAACCTCTTTCACAAAAAGGAGATTCTGCACAAAAAGATGGACGGTACCATGGTAGACCAGAATAAGAATATGCCCATGGTTGATATTTTCCTACCAACAGCCTGTGAGTTTCATCTATGCTAAGAAATGAAATTGACAAATTCTAAATTATCCAAGTTAGATGTGTCTACAAACAAGAATGTTGTATTATAAATCATGGATATCAACAACATTTAAACTGAAAGTGCATCACTAGGTTAAGCACAGTACAGATCATAGCAACTGTCTTCAGAACTTGTTCAATCACTAGAATACTTGGTGAAGAATTATAGTTGAGTTCTTAAGCATCGTTGAAATTTCTGGTCTCTGTGAAGAGTGAAATCCAATATTTGCACCAATTTGTTAGGAAATATCAGGCATCATGAAATTGTAGTTTCCTAGAACGAACATGCTATACAGTGAGTCAGTGACACAAACTAGGAATAATGATGGGAAAGAGCACTTAAGTCCATAACAAGAGAACCATGTCATGAATGCTTCTTCAAGATTGATTCAACAAATTTGTCATATACCCTGATGGATTTAGCAAGTATCTATTAACAGTCATTATTGCAGCAATTGGTGGGTTAGTCCATGCAAGAGACAAGCTTGGGTGGCTTGGGTATTGGGTAGGGACTCACTCAGGGACATAAGCAGATTGGATAGATTACATTATAAAATTGATAATATTATATATTGTAACTAACTACATTTTCTAAAAAGAAAAGTATAATTCTATTAAATAGAGGGAGAACCCCAAAAACAGCTAAACCAACTATATAATATAAGCATGTAAACAAAATTGTATAGAAAACTGTTAAGTTATTATTACATTTCTTACATTAATAATTTATATTAGTATCATAGTTTTCAAGGTGCCTAGGTGATGCTGGGCGATACTGGGGCGCCTAGGAGATAAAAATTTTATAATATAAAAATCTAACTCTTGACTAGTTCCCTAGTTTTATACACCATTCAGCATGTATATTAATTGAAAAAATAGCAATTCTCTTTATTAAGAACATTAAATTTCCTCTAAAAACGTGACAAATCATCACATCTAAAATATAAAAATCTTTTACATACATTAATATAATCATTTTCAAAAATAATATTGCTATGATAAGGATTTAATAGAGAATTTCATATCAATTAGCAGCTAAAGATATAGATTTCCTTCTATTTACTCCTTGTCTGAAAACAAAAGAAAAGTGATCTCTTCAGTGTTTGTTGATAACTCCTAGGATTTGGGCTTGAGAAGAGGTCTAAGGGATTCTGAAATGGGGATGGTCTCAGTTAAGGGAAGTCTTTCTTGATCAGTCTTGTAGAGATAGCAGAATTTGGAGACCTTCCCCTTCTGGTTTTTTCAATTGCGCTTCTTTCTATAACATTTTGCTTCAGGCCTCTAACCTTGTAGGAACTTTCCTTCAAAGGAGGTGTGGGGTAGCCCTGTACCCCCAAAAATTCAGGCCTTTTGCTGGGAAGTGGCACTCCAAAAAATCAACACCTTGGATTTATTGCAAAAAAAGAGGCCAAATATGTGCCTCTCCCCCCATGTTTGTTGTCTCTGCTTGGGTTTTGGTGAGACAATTTCACATTTACTAATCGCATGTTCCTTTGTGTTCTTTATTTGGTCTTGGTTCTTGATAACTCGTTAATTTGATGCCTTAAGGGTGTAGAGAACATTGATGTAGGCCCCACAGCTGTGGTCCCACTCTGTCGTAGGGTAGAATGTATCTAGTCATAGCTGATGGTCAATTTACTATTCTGTTATTCTAGTTGTTATTTACTTTTCAGTTTTATATTGTTATGTGTTATGATGTAAACACCAAGGGCAGATGTGTCCTTTCATGTAACTAGCATAACATATAAATATTAAATTGAAGTGGCGGCGACAGAATATTGAGATTCTGTTCTTCTCCTCAAAGCCTGTGTTCTACTGCTCTCTCACCACTCTTTCTCTTCCTTCACTTTCTCTTCTCTTCGAACCTGAAGTTTCTTAGTGATCAAGATTGATAGCAGTCTTGAACACCTACATGGTATCAGAGCCAAGTTAGGGTTTCTCATGTGAGCCTRATACCAGCCGACCACATGAGAATCTCCTAGGACTGGAAGCTGAAAAGGAGGAGTTCGCAGACTGATTCTTGGAGATCGCCAGAAGTGCTAGTAGCTATTGGAAGCTTGTTAGGGTTGCAGAGTGTTGGTGGTCAGGAAGGATCAGAGAAGACTAGGGTTCGGGTAACCCTAGAAGGCAGCAAACATCTTTTCCTTGTAAGTTATTTACTTTCTAAGAAAAGTTCTATCAGAGAAGATAGGTTGGACCTATCTGGAGGGGGAGGCCGAACYATTCTAGGGTTTTCTCTCTTCGATTCACTAGGGTTTTACAGCAAACCCTAGGCCGAACTGTCTGAACCTTGTGATCTTGCGGCAAGCCCTAGTGTTAGACTGAATCTTGTGATCTACCTAGAGCTGCCCTCAAGTTTATTGTTAGCATTGATCAGATTCTAGGGTTTCTTATTAACCCTACTGCAAGTCTATCTATACGGTACTGATTGGATTGTGCAACTGAATTGTTCACTTTAAGGACTGATTAAAACCCTAACTCTGCCAAGCATATCAAACCTACTTTTAAGCT